CCACCGGCTACTGGCACACATCACCAGCGATTTGTATAAACATGCTCGAAGCCAATGGCTTATTCAAGTACCAATATAAATACAAATATCTTCTGTAATAGGCTCAATAAATGCTTAGCCACTGGCATCTGTATAGATGCCTATTCTCCTCTGAACTGTGCACTATCCCAGAACTCAGCTCTCACTGAAGTGTCTCTACACAGTACACTGTCTGAGTGCAAAAGGTGTGTAAAATTGATTGCCAGATGTGTCCCCAAGTGGAAGCAGCTGTAAGTAACTCTTTGAAGCATATTATACTACACAGACCTGGTTAGAGGCTCCTGAGATTTTTTATAAACTTTCTATAAGCTCAGGAATGAGCTATCAGGCAGTGGGGGCAGGCTGCCAGCAGTCACATTAATATTTCAACAGCTATGAACCTTGTTGTTGTGATTCTCAGGTAAATGTATATTCTCTGAGTGAGAATATGTGTAATATAAGCCATCTATGCACAAAGCATGAGACCAAACCTGCCAGATACTAGTCTTAAAACAATTTGTTCATGAGAGTTAGCCCAACCTGGAAAGCAAGTCACACACCATGGCCCAATGTCACACACTTCTGCCCAAAGACCAGTGAAAAATGCAAAAAATTATTATTCAATGACATATACTAGCAATAAACAGCATATGTTGATGGATAGTGGCTGCTGCCTGCCAGTGGATGTCACCAGTGTTTGGTGGTGTCTGCCACCTGCCATGTGAATCGACCAGACCAAATACCAGTGGCAGCCAGCATGGCATGCTGAACACTGGTATATCCCAACATACCCCACTACTTGCCACTGATACACAGCAATATTCACCAGTTGCTGCTGTATTCCGATGGGTTCCAGTGGACAACGAACGGTGGTGTTCACAAGCGCTCACGGCGACGCACCCGTATATGGCAAGGACCGCCGGCAAACACCAATGGCCACCGGCGAACACCGGTGGTTACCGCTGGAGGTTGGCGAACGCCGAAGTTGCAAGTCACGGGCTTATAACTCTTCAAAGTTCGCTTTGAACGCGCTTTGGACTCGCTTTGATGGCGATTCAGAGGATGAAACGGAAACTCGAAGCGGCGCGGTTTCGGGGTCCTGAAGCGACGATTCGGGCTGAATCGTGCTGAATCGTGTCGAATCGAAGTCGTCCGTCGAAGCGGCTCCCGAGCCGCTTCGCACGCTGCCCTTTGCTCGATTCAAGCTCGCTTTCCGGACCAACCTGCTTCGCCCCGTCCTTGGCACCCTCCTCTTCCCCCTCCTCCTGTGCCATTTGCATCAATTTTGTAATAGCCCCATGCACATAGAGTAGTGACAGTGGGATCAATTTATATTCATATTTTGCTACTTATTTTCTGCGTGTTACGATGAAAAGCGTGTCCCCATACAAGCATTCCCCGGCCACCTCATGGTGCATACCAATGGGTAATTTTTTGGAGGCATCTTCGCTCCCTGAGAGCATGCAGGAGCCCCGCTACAGGTATAATGGAGTGTATATAGACCATTAGGAATGAGGCGGATGTGTCCCTCGCGCCGCCAGCACTTCGAGTTTACTTCCTCGTGATCGGGGGTGTTCAAAGTCCACACGCGCTTCAGTCGCGTTTCACTTCGTTCGAAACGACTCTTGAAGCGGCCGTGAATCGGTTTTGCGCGCGAACTTTGAACACCCCTACTGTCACGCAAGCACTATCAACCTTGATTTTCGCGAGTTGGAACTTTCGCTGATGGTACGCCTTGGCTCGTAGCGCTTTTCCTGGAGGGATGACTGTTGCATATCCCAGGAAGCATGTGAGGGCATGCCTTCAAAGTGCGGCATGTCTCTCCACCTCGTATTCGTCTCACTGCTTCATCATCATAATTAACATGACAAACAGTTATGCCATCCTTGTGAACGAGACCGCCTGTGATCTCGCAAGCCGTCGCGGTAGAGAGCGCTTAAGTCCTGAAGGTCACACGCGACCCTGGAACTCACGTTCCATCCCGCCTTGGCTCGCTCGTATCTTGTAAGAAGTATGGCCACTGCTCGTAATATTCTGTCCATATGTAGCGCTAGCATCAGGCTATCGACGAGGCTTCACACAGCATCTCGGGGGAATATCAGCCGCTATATGGTGCCGTTGAAGGGGCGACTGGAACCTGGAAAAATCCGCGCAGCTCCTTCAGTGTTTGATGGGCTCACGTGTTGCAAGGAGGCGACTCGTTCAGGGAAGAGGAAAGCGGACGGGTACAGTAGTGATCACGGGGCGGGAGGTGCCGTTGAGGCCTTGAGCTGAAGGACGTAGCTGACGCGTCGGCGCGATGAGGTCACAACAGGCGTGCTGTCAGAATGGAAAATCGAAGTGGAGCGTCTTCCTGATTTAAAGCACTACACCTTCCTCTTCTGGACAAGGCGACGCAACTCAGCAAGCGCTTTTTCCTGGGCATTTCCCGGCCGTCGCTGTCACGCGCCTGTATTCTGGCGTAGACGTCGAAGGCTCGGAAGCTTCATCTTCCATCGGATAACAAGGGGTGATTACAGAGCCTTTGATGCAGTGCAAATCAATCTGATTGCATATGTCAGAGTTGGACACGACATTGACGGAGCTGATAGCGCTGGCTGGGAACACGGACGGTACGGAGATCGTACTTCTGCCGCTCTCAAGCATGCTAACAGCTTTTTATCGCCTCGGGGCACTGATCTCAAACTTCTTTGCTGCTTCAACATAGCTTCGCTCGCAATGAGGCCAAGTTGTATTCGAGTCTACACACTGCCTCTTCAGTACCAGTGCGTTCAGCAGCCCTCAGCAATCTTTAACGAAATGCCACTGGAAAGGGTCGCACACGCGGAAGCGACCCCAACATGAATGCTGGCAGACAACCAGCCAAGTCGCCTATAAACTGCGCAAGTGGCAGCCTACCCCCAATGCAACCCACTTTCTCGCTTCGTGCTGATTATGTCGACGCAGTCTAACCAGGCTCTTGTTCAAGCCTACTCGCAGCTGTACGCGTCATCCCTATTTGCACTTTACGGCCCAATGCTCATACAGATACCTTCCTCTTCCAGTGCCACGGCCGATTACATTACCATAGCTATCGTGTGCAAGTACATCCTCTGCTTATCGTTGCATCGCTTACACGCTGTCTGTCTCTCAGCCCTCGTCGTATACGAGATTCTCATTACAATCGGCGACGAGGTTAGGATTGTGTGGCAAAGACCTGTCACTGCACCGGCCGTGCTGCTCGGCTCGGTGCGGTGGTGTATACTCCTCGCGGCTACCCTGCAGCTTGTGCCGTCAACTTCGAACGTAAGCATTAAATGTCTTTAACGATGTCCAATCCGTAACAATGCTTTGCTACAGGAGTAAGCACAGCTTATCTGTGGCCCGTGTGTTACTGGTTACTTACCGGAGCCTGGCATAGCTGCACACCACTCGAAATCATGGTCTGGATATTCAGCCTCATTCAATTTCTTCAGATCGCTCGTACGCCCTACGCAGTGTGCTCGAATCATAAATCCTTATTGACCTCTACATGCTAGTCTTTTCTGCCCTGCGTGTCTTCGCTATCTGGAACAAGAGCTATGTCTGGTCGTTGGCGGTGTTCGCTCTAAGCATGGTGCCGTTCGCGATAAATCTAGTGCGTAATACCTCCGCTCGAACCTCTCGTGTCTTCTGGTTGACGCCTCTACGCAGTATCAAGCGGTGGAGTCGAAGTACGTATCATTCATGGACCCACTCACCGGAACGACATGCAACGAGGAGATCATATTCTCTGCACGAACACACAGCATGTTGGTGCACATACTTGCTGATTCACTATTTTAATACTAAGTTTTCGCAATATATAGACGTACGTTCCCCGGTCAGAGCATTCTAACATCCCAGGGACACTGATGCAACCCGCTCGCAGTCACGTATGTCGCACGCGGTTCACTTATCCTCGCCGACGCGATCGTTCTCATCTTAACGTGGATGAAAACGCTCGGAAACTGGTTGGCTACCCGCCGCCTCAACATGACGGTCTCGCTAACGACGTGTTTGTTACGCGATGGTCAGTAATCCTCTGCGCGCCTTGAAATTTTCTCCTGCTCATAAGCAGCTACCCATTTAGGAACTCTCTATTTCATGTGAGCGTGATGAGACAGCCGCATTAGAAGGAATTCTTACTGACGAGAATGAACATAGAGCTCTGCTAGCGATAAACATAGCTCAACTACTAAACGATAACTTCTCTGCGGTACGTCCCTGACGTGAGCACGTCGGTAGATAACTGACGTCGGGCCTAAGAACTTATCTATACCACTCGTGAGCATGCTAACGACCAACATGGTGTGTATCCTACATTCCGTTGGCCCGTGTTATACTCATAGATCTGCTACGCAGCCCTCGGTGCTCATCAGCCGCTTCATGATCAACCTCCGGACGACCGGCTCGGAAGCATCGGACTATTCCATGCACACGAGTGATCGACGGCAGGGTCAGTCGACACTCCAGTTCAGAACGCCAGAGGATCTGTTGGGCAACATTGGAGGGACTCTGCAAGATGGCTGGAGCGACGAGTCCTGTGACGAAGAGGACGATGCTGCGGGAGTGTACGATGAAGGACGTCTTGATATCAGTGCAGAAGCGTGAGCGGGCGTCGATGACTGAGCTGCACTTTGTAGTATGCTATGTTTCAGGCGGATAGCGTCACTTATTATTTATGCATGCAGGGGACTCGGAGCTTACGGTATCGAGCGATCCCAGTTGGGCAGTGTGCTGTCGAGCTCGGCATAATGTGAATGCATGCATTCCGCGCACCTTTACATAGCAAATAGGTAGCTATTCCAGATGGTCGCTTTACGGCTCACGAGATGGAGCGCACATACCCAGACGAGTGTCCGAGATCATTGGCAAGCGGAGCAATCCGACGATGTCTGTCCTTCGTCATTCTCGCTTTTATCGTCTGCACATGCCTTTGGTGTGATACTGAATCTTGCAACTCTCAGCGCTGAAAATTTGCCGTACGCTTTAGCATGCACTTCCGGTGGCATGGAGTCGCTGCCACGTTCAGCCCTTCGATGCTCCTGGACCCGACGAGCCAGGCTACAGGACACACTTTAGCCAGCGTCCAGCTGTGCACTGCCGCTAAATGCGACCGCATGCTCCTGTGCCCCACTCGTATGCTCCGCGACAAGGGTAGATACGGCTGGGTGCCAGTCGCTCGTGGTAACGGACGCCATTGCTGTGTAGCCAGATGCTCAGGCTGCTTCCTGATGTCAGCAACGGAGGAATGGGTGGACCAGAGCAGATCTATGGCACCTGAATAATCAGCCATAGGAACCACCGCTCAAAGCTACTGGCTTATGGTGTTCGATAGTGTGGGGCTTGGCTTGCAGTCCTGACAAGCCTAAGCCTGGCGAAGGCAAACCAGTCCAATCATTCACCCGGCCTCCATCTGTTATCGCTGAGAGGGCGGAACGCTTGCACAGCTCCAGCTGTCGAATAGGCTCAAGTATTGCAAAAAGACGCTTCACTTGGGAAGAACAAAGTGGATGGTTGGCAAACATCATGTCGGAGGTGTCGGTAAAGAGCTGAAGGAAGTCCTCTATCCACACATCCATACGTACGGGGCCAGAGCTGACGCGCCAATGCGATGAACACATACCTCGTATTAGTCGCGCTTCAATGCACACGCTGAGCGGGTCTGCTGCTGATGTAAAATGTAGAAGAGCGCCTTCCCAATCCAAAACACCTTCTTTTTCCGGAATTCGGACGACAGGCCACGTGACTCATCAAGCGCCTCCTCCAATGCACAACCTGGCCATCGCTGTGGCCCGTATTCCGGCGCAGACTCCAAAGCCTTGAAAGCCTGAAAGCTCTATCTTACATCGGATAACAAGCCATGTTAGTGATAAAAGAGTCTCCGGTGTTATATAAAGCCCTCTAATTTCATGCGCAGGAATTGTTATGGGCGACATTCGAATAGCACGAACGGGGAAAGTGGGCGTTACGGAAGTCCTGTATCCCGCTGCTTTCGAGGATGTAAATGGCCTTCACGTCCTCAGAAGGTTAACACCTGACCTCTGTACTGTTTTAGTATAGTTTCGCTCAAAACGGGGCCACTTTCTACGATGCCAGCGCTTTCAGAAGCCCCTCGCAATCTTTAATGAGACGGTACTGGCAAGGGTCGTACATCTGGAAATAGTTACAAAAAAGCAAGTGCTGATAGGCGACCAGCCAAGTTGCTCATAACTTCGCAAATAGCAGCCTACACTCGACACAGCTCGCATTCCCGCTTCCCCACGTTGACTATGCCGGTACAGTCAGACGAAGGTCTTCTCCTAGCCTACTCACAGCAAGCGGCACCCTTGTTTGTACTTAACTGGCTAATACTCATACGTCGTCTTTCAGTGCCACGTGGGGTCATATTACCACGGCTACCGTGTGCAAGTACACTCTTTGCTTCCCATTGCGTCGCTCACACACATCTGTCCCTCAGGCCTGATAATTTACGAGTTTCTGATTACAAT